TTGTCTTAGTCCGAGTAGCTAGGACTACAGGCACCTGACACAAAGCCCTGCTATTTTTAGAGATGGGGTATGGCTTTTGCTCAGCATAGTCTTGAATTACTGAGCTCAAGCAATCCACCTGCATCAGCCTTCTAGAGTGCGAGGATTACAGGTGTGAGCCACCGTGCCCAGCCATAACAGGTAGTTCAGAATACACAAAGTTTAGGGAAAGAGTGGGCAGATCCGGTCAGTACTGTGGATGTTATGGATTTATAAGGAGGTCCTACAAATGGTGGAAAAAATTATTCTTCTGACTGATAGAAGTTGCAGTTGTGAGCAGCTCCACGCTTTACTGATCAGATAAGGACGGGAGAAAAAGTACTCCTTCTTTTCTCACAAGAGAAATCTGATCACTCAGCTTGTGAGCAATGTGAGGAACAGAAATTCAAGAAAGAAAGGAAGGCCAGCATCGTCTGTCACTGAGCAAAGACTAAATGGAAAGGTGCATTTTATAATGACAAATGAAAAAAATCAACAAGTAATCGCAAGGCTTGAAGCAGAAGAACAGAGAAAGGTGGACAGATAGAAACTGTTTTCTACTGTGAGACGTGCAAGAAGCAGCCTGAACTTCACCCTGGAGGTGACTCAAGAAATATTATATTCAATACAAACAAAAATAGACAAGAACATTTCAGTTATTTTATATAACCTCAAACAGATAATGAAATCATCAGCTGAGCTCATATTTATGTTTTTCTCTTTTAAAACAGTAAGATAATCGTAAGTCATCCACTAACCTCTTTCCTGCCCCCAAATAAATAAGAGCTAGGGAGTATGCAGGTGGCAGAAAATTGGATCGAGATTAACAACTCTTATTGACCACATAGTCTGTGAGGCGCATACTGGGTGCCAAGACCCATAGGTAACACATGTATGTGTGTGTGTGTCTGGGGATTTATTTTTAGGGTATTAGTAATAATAGTAAGAGGAGGGGTATTTCTATCAGTGTATGGGATTTGTGACGTTTCCGCCCTTCTCACTGTTTCCATCAATGCTTCCTGCCTTCCATGATGTTTCCTTCACCTGTGTGAAACTTCTGACTGCTCCCCACTCCCACTCGCTGTTCTCCTGGTAAAGGGGAAGAGGCAAGAATTGGTGAGAAGAACTCAACCTTAACCTATTTCAGCCCTATCCTCTTATCCTTTCCACTTGGGATGCTGGTTTCAGTGAAAAACATTTTGCAGGATACCTCCGGGTTAGACGTTTTCAGTGGATAATCTAGACCTCAGCAGAGGGAGGCCCAACTGCCTGTGCCTGTGTTAATCTAGTTGATTCTGGTGATTACTCACTGCAAACCCACCGGTCTGCAGATACAGCTACAGTCTGCAATATCGACATCATTAGTAACAGACGATATACTCATTCCACAAATCTCTTGCTCTATTGTGTTATATCACCAAGGGTTGAGAACTCAGATAGGAAAGAGGGCGTAATTTATTGGATAACATAAGACTTGAATATTTTAATAATCATATAAGCACCTAAACCTGCCTATGACCACATAAGTGGTAATTCAACTCTTACCCTAAGTCAACAAGGGACTAATACTCTAAGAGATGTGAAACAAGGGTGTCTCTACAATTTTTGGCAATAATTAGAAAAATAAGGTGTTTACACATAGAAGAGAAATACCTTTACAAGGCAGTTACTATATATGTGGCAAAAAGATAAGCTGTATTTTATGGTCAATACATGTGATTAGAATGAAAAAGGATAATGTTAATTTGTTATTGAATTAATAAAAAAAAGATTTCATCAAACATTTGGGTCTTGATTTGGTGCTCTCTGGAAATATAGGAATTAGTTGAGTAGAGAGAAAAGGAGATTCTCCTGAGGTCTACATGGCATGATAAGAGGCTCAGAGGCAAGAATAAATATAGCTACTATTTACTGAGCACTATTGATGGTTGATTAATTCATATATCCCATTTAAAAGTAATATCAGTCCTACACATTTGAGAGCTTAATAAGCTCGGGTCATGTTTCCAAGCTCATGCTGCTGGTGTGGTAAGATTTCAGCTCAGCCAGCCTGAATCTAGATGCCCTGTCCTGCTAACCTGTAGCCAGATTGCCTCACAGAAAGCCAGAATCAGGCAAATAACAAAAACAAATAGTTAATACTAGGAACAAGTGGGGCAGAGTGGCTATGTCATTTACGGGCTGCATGGAACATGGGGAGAAGAGTTGGAATTGACCCTAAACCTCATGGAGATCTACGAAATGTTCTTAATTTTTAAAATACCAGAGAGAAAAATTTGGGGGAAAGACTGATATCCAACAAGGGGGGATCACAATGAATGGGCCCTCAGAGAGTGATCAATTAAGAAACAATTATTATACCTCACACCATTTCAATAAAGTGTTCTACAGACTGACCATAACAACAAAATGAGCTGCCAGGTGAATAAATAATGGTTGACTTCCAAACTCTCCTTTTGGACAGTGTAATTGTTAACATTTTTTGGGTGCTTATTACCTGCCAAGAATTGTATTAAACTTCCATGTATCAGTTCACACAATATTTGTAATATTTGTAATGAAGTATTATTATTAGTCACATTTTTATACATGAAGAAGCTGGTCCAGAGAGATGTGAAGTGACTTTCCCAGGAATATACCCTTCTATGAGGAGAAGCAGGGATTATAAACCCAGGCAAGCTGGCTCAGTAACCTGCACTCTTATCTACCACTCCGGTGTCACTGGTATACTACGTACAGCACTGATTTTTACTTGTGTACTTAATACATTTCAAAGCTTGCCTGAAGATCTAAAATATCCAATTATCTCCTGGGCCAACATTTTCCAATGTCTCATTCACAAAATACAGAATGTTAACAGATACAAAATGATGCCAAAGGGTTTTGGACAAATACTATTAGAAAATACTAGATTGAATAAAGCCCGTTTTCTTCACCTCAGGAATTGTCAGAGCTTTTACTTGGCCAAGGATACTGTGAATTTCCTCCATTTTGGAAATGCTGCCCTACGTTCATACTTTCTGTAACTTTTATCCTCGGTCACTCTGAGCTACTTTGAAGTCAAAAGACTTTTACATTAAGCTAGTGTTAACAAAAGTCATTGCAAAAATAATATTTAATAATATGTCTTTGAAATGTATGAATGAGGCTGTGTCTTCATAGCCTCTTCATGATGTTTTAGCATATACAGGTGCTTGGCTATGATGAGTTCAGAAATAGAATATGCAAAGCTCTACTGCTTTACCAACTCCCATCAGATAGAAGATAAATTCATATTAATTGATTTGTATTGAAAAAACAAAGAACATGTTTTCACTTTATTCCTACTCTTGGAAATAATTTTGTGGCTGTCTTTCGCAATGAAGCAGAACATTTCCCATTGATATGTTTTATTTTAACTATTCCTCTAATTCTGGTCAAGTATTCACACAACCTGTTTCTTTTTGATAGCCAAAAATAATTTAGACATCATAATGTTTATGTCCATTCTGTAACAGTTCTGCTGACCTGAAAACCTAGCATCCTTGAACCCTTACGGCCTCCTAAGTAAAATAATAGGCAATTCACACTAAATGGTTTGCAGAACATAAAGCATGACGCAGCTATCATTTTAGGGGTAGAAAAAAAGGAGACTGCAATAATTGATAACCATAAAGATAAGACTTATCTGGGAAGCAAATGGGTAGTTTTCTATTATATAAATACTATATCATATATGCGTTCTATTATAAGTTGTACACAACAGAAAAACACAAAGATACAGCCAGGCCTTTTTAAGTTGTTCCTTAAATACTTCGTTTGGGTTTTTCTTTCAAAAGTGAAATTTTAAAAAATACCCCAAGAGAACCAAAGATGCGATGTCACTTACCATATCATGGTCTGAAACGGGTCCGAAGCTGGTGACGAAGATGTCAGTCTTCACTTCTGTTACACGCTCTGATGAAGCAAGAAATTGTGCCAGTGAGTGTCTATCAACAGCCCTTATTAGATTTCACCACCACAAACGCACATCCAAATGAGAAATTTATTGGCTTTGATTAGCTATTTCTAAAATTGGTCCACTGTGTAGTCCTGATAATTTACTGCTTACACATGGAATTTCACAGTTAATATTTTCAATGGAGAACGGAGCCCAACTATGCCACCTTGGGAGACAGACTTTACAGAAAACTCAGCTGTTGCTTAATGAATTCTTCAAGAATAGACACACTTGCCTAAATGATAGTAAATCACTTCACATTATAATAAAAATATGTAATCATTGGGATATGACTTAAGCTTAAATATTTTTACACAGCTAGGCAGATTCTCCAGGTATTTAGGCTACTCTTGGAAAAGTAGATAGCACGCTTTAGCAAGCTTTATTAACTCTTTAAAGACTCAAGAGTATGTTTTATAGATGTTTGCTATATTGTATTATCATAGCTGAACTATCCAAATTACTCCCTGGAAAAAATATGACAACCTATATCAGTATCTTCAGTTTTGAGGATGAGAACATATTATGGCACAAAGGTCATTTAATAGATCCTGTTTCAAGTCCAATGTCATTTTATAGGCCTCTGATGGCACATATATCAACCAATACAACATATTTATTATAGTTCTGTGACAATTTAACACAGATATTTTCAACGAAATACTGTCACTCACCAAGAAATTGAAAAATATTGCTCACAGAAAAGGAAATTATGTGTTGGGGGTGACAATAAAAATTATGACCTTATAATTGTCACTTTTAGTTCTGAGAAATAGCAGTCCAGGATCTTAAGAAGTTTATTTCATCCATCTGAGTATTTGTAATTCTGGCACAGAACACTCAAAAGATGATCCCATATACGCAACAATAAATTACTTTGACAATCAAGAGCTGGCTTGATCCTCAGAAATCCAATAGTTAATAGTTTCAGTATAAATTTCTCTCAAAGATGTCATATTATAAACTAAACCTAATGTGTAACTCAGTTGATAAAATAATTTGTGGTTGTAGATGTTCCTTCCTTTTAATAGCTAATTCAATGGTTTTGCAAAAACATTCCTTGGCTCAAAAATGCTTAAATGAGTCCCTTGACTTAAGGATTATCTGGGTTCACCCTATAAAAAGTTTAACATGACACACTGGTGACAAAGAAAATAAAACATTGTGTTTCCAGAAGCCACTTCCAACCATAGCTTTAAGATGCTGCACCGAAAGACACAAGGGCTATGTTAGCCAGTTGGATGAGAGTTTTCAAACTGTATATGGAAGCAACACACTGTATCCTATGATAGAATTAATGTACACAATTATGACCTAATGAAAAATTTTTTAAAAGAAATAAATAAATAAATAAGATGCTGCACCAGCTCTGTGTAGCAGAAGAGGCACGGTGTCAGTGGTCTCAGCTGTCTTACTCAGTCCTCTTGAAATGCCCCATTCTCACTCCTTCCTTGCAGCCCTTTCTCCCAATAACCACATCCCTCTCTTTATTCCACACTTTTTCTTCATATATTTTTGTTAATTTAAGCAACTGTTTTTATTAGTGAGACGCCATCAAGAGCTGACACTTGATTACAATGTCAGAGCAACCTTTTAATTAAAAATTTAATCTATTCACAAAGTTAGAATTTATCATATTAAGTGGGTTAAATGTGTACTTTTATTGACCAGGATGTCCCTTTCTATATCAAGCAAAAAAATTATATTACTTCTATAGAATAAAATATATATTTATTGTCCAGAAAAAAAGTACAAAAAGAAAGAGAACAAATAGAAGAGCTTTGAGCGTATTTTCACCCTAAATTCTTTGTGTGCCATGCATGTCCATTATCGGAAAATAAATTTCTTATTATTTGTAAATCTATGTATTAAACCCGAATAGTATCAACACTGTGTGATCAAGGAAAATCAATATCTAAATTATCTTTCTATACAAATCTGAAGACAGGTAGACATTCCTGGTAAACTTATCAAGTCTCACTTTGTTTCCAAGTTAATTTTTGGTTCTTTCCAGATTATAAAATGTAACATTCATGGTAACTATCATATGGAACTTAATAACATGTAAAAAATCAAAATCACTTCAGTTCTTTTTATTTATATAAAAAGAATATATATTTATTTAGTTAGTTCTTTTTATTTATATTATTGAGCTGCAGAAGCATGCTCTGCTCACCCTTGACTGCACACTTGAATACACTTGGCAGCCAGGGTCAGCTCCATAGAGTTCTTTATCACTCTTATATAATTCCTGAGTGTGGCAAAAGCACAATTTCTGCACTCTAAAATAATTCCCCAGGTAGCGAGCTTTATAAAATTAGTTCATCAGATATTTCAGGGACAGTCAATCTGTGCTACCAAGCATGATAAAGATCCTGAACTTCATCTCTGAAGAAGTGAGGTGTCCATTTGCCAAATACACATACGTGGACCATTTCCCTCCGTCATTTTTAGTAGATGTCCGTGCTACACAGGAAACAAATTAAAAAGCCTGAAAGTCTATTTGTAAAGATTATTATACCTATAAAATTGAACACAGAACATGATTAAATTTAAACCTATTTATTGCCAAGCATAATTGTTACTGTGTCATATAGAGTGTAGGCATAAATGGAAAGTAATTCACATAAATGACTCTGCTCAACTTTATAAAGCATATTGGTTTTATCTTTCATCTGTCGTTTTCCCTAAATGTATTTCTCATACCAGTTCATCAACTTTAGGTACTTCATCTTATTTCGTACTAACCACTTGCCTCTGGGATTTCCCAAAACTCACCATTGCAATATTCCAAGGCAGGTGTACTGTCAGAGCCCCTATTCCATGAATCTTTTGAATACCTTTTCACCACGCATGCTAATCATAGACACATCCTGAAAGAGCTTCTGATTTTTGTTGTGTATTTGTTCTTTTTCCCCCTCTCTAAACATACTCACAATCCCTATGCTTCAGGTAGTAAACTTTCCAAGTCTCAAAACTGAAGGAGGCCAGTGGGGTTTTCAGTGATGAGTTAGCGATGAAATGAAAGGGGTGAAGGAAAGGAGAGAAGGAGAGTGTAATAAAATTCCGCACACCTCTGGAACCTGGAGTGGCTGGAAAATTAGAGGAGGAGAAGGACCACTCTCCACACTTTTCCTCCTGATATATCTCCCTTGCTACAATTCTCTGAGATTGTCATCAACCTACCAGAGAGTAAGTATCCAAGGAAGTGTCCAAAAGGTTCTTATCACTGAAAACTCTACTTATCATCTACCCTCATGGAAGATTTGGATGAATATTAACTTCCTAACATCTATTTAAAAACCATGTTTTAAATAAATTGGTTGACCTCATTTGCCTCTGTGTGTTTCCCAAAATGATTTGGGAATCCTAGTTCAAAACATTGCAAAACCTTTAAAATAAACTTCAGGCCAATACAATAGATTATGTCGTTGATAAAATTTAAAAAAATGTTATAATATAAGTTTAGAAACTTAGAAAAATAAGGGAAAAGTTAAAAAGAAAATCCCTGGAATGCCACCATCCACAAAAATCCACTTTCTACTCAAACTTAGAATTGATTTTATGCAAACTACATCCTTATGCAGTCCAATACATTTTAAATGATAAGGGATGGGTTCCTTTGATTAAAAGCATATGTTTCACTACTGCTTACCAGGAATTCCCTGAGTGGTAGGTAAAGTTACTATTCTTTAGGACAGAAGGTTTAATAACCCCACGTGCAAAGGCCCAAGCTAGAGCATGGTTGTGAGTTAATTTCATCCAAGTTGTTAGGAGTTTAAACACTGAGATTTCAACCCTGATTTTCTTCAAGAATAAGTTGTGAGGCTCAGTGTCTATAGCTCAGTGGCTAGGGCGCCAGCCACATACAACCCACCTGGTCCTGCCAAACAACAATGACAACTACAACCAAAAAATAGCCAGGTGTTCTGGTGGGTACCTGTAGTCCCAGCTTCTTGGGAAGCTGAGGCAAGAGAATCACTTAAGCCAAAGAGTTTGAGGTTGTTGTGAGCTGTGACACCACAGCACTCTACCCAGGGTGACATAGTGAGACTCTGTCTCAAAAAAAGAAAGAAAAAAGAAAAGAGAGAGAAAGAGAGAGAATAAGTTGTGACCTAAAGTCACAATCTTTTAATCTCCAAATGTGTTTTCTATGTTTTAAAAGATGAAATAATACCTGTAATAATTCAAAGTGTTGGAGTGAGGGTCAAATAAGGTTGTGGTGCCAAAAACACTTTGAGAGGCATCTCTTGGATACATTAGTCAATAAATGTTTATGGAGTATTTTCTAAGTGCCAGCTAGGCACTATTTTAGGTAAGAGCAGTACAATGATAAACAGAAGTGAAAATTCTTCTCTTTTATAGTATAGCTCATAGTATTTAGTGGAAACATAGATATAGACGATAAGTAGATACAGAGAGCTGTAATTGCATATATAGTTATTCACAAACACACACACAAAACTCCTGCTAATTAAATTCCAGTCCTTGTGAGTGCTCTGGTACAATGTCATTAGAAGAGGTAAAATTCGAACTGAGATCTTAAGATGAGAAAAATTTAGTGACAGCCATACTCAGGGGAAAACATAAAGAAGAGGAAAAAAACAGGCAAAGGACCTAAGGTGAGAATAAATGCATTATTGCTTAAGAAACAGAAAGTCCAGTTTATGTGGAGCCTGGTGATTCTGGTGATCATGGCATATAATATGACACTCTAGAGGCAGGTGCGACTACGCCTTCAGTAAGCAGTTGACCTTTATTCGAATACAGTAGGAAACCCTTGGGTAATAAAATGAAATGATGCTACTTGCAATTTAAGAAGATAGCTGAATCTGTGTGAATAGCGGATTGTAAAAGTGACCGTAATAAACAGAAGGAGGGTGGAATGAATAAAAAAGCCCGGAGGTGGTATTTCCTTAGTAGTGGCTGGAACAACACTTAGCTTAATATGGTAGTG